GACCCTGCTTACCTCAAAGAGCCTCATTATGTTGGTGAAAATGATCAAGACATTTGCCATGATGACCCAAAAATGTTGTTGAACTTGGCAAATATGGGCTGGTCTTGATTGTAGTTTTCAATCTACATCTTTTCAAAGCCCATTCCAGATTGTTAAGCACTACACTACACTGTAGCCCCATTCACAACAGCTGCAGACTTTACCCCATTTCCAGTCCCCAGAAGGGCAGTGTTAGACCACTTATATAACCCTGCTTACCTCAAACAGCCTCATAATGTTGGCAAACATGATGGAGATACATTTGCCATAAAGACCCCAGCAATTTTGTCAAACTTGCCAAATATGGGCTGGTCTTGATTGTAGGTTTCAATCTACATCTTTTCAAAGCCCATTCCAGATTGTTAAGCACTTCACTACACTATAACCCCATTCACAACAGCTGCAGACTTTACCCCATTTCCAGTCCCCAGAAGGGCATTGTTAGACCACTTATATAACCCTGCTTACCTCAAACAGCCTCATAATGTTGGCATTATGGAGGTACATTTGCCATAAAGACCCCAGCAATTTTGTCAAACTTGGCAAATTTGGCCTGGTCTCAATTGACCAACAGTTACAGGCTACTCCCCACTCCCACATCTCAAACAGTTACATCCTTGGCAGTTATGGGCTGGTCTCGATTTTAGGAATCAGCCTGCACCCTTCTACACCCAGCCCTGATTATTGTCCACTACACTACGTAACATCCATCGTTGACAAGAACCAGATTATGAACCCCACTCCCAATCCCAAGAAGGACAAGTTGAGCCTTCTTACCTTAAAAAGCCTCAAGATGTTGGCAACCATGATGGAGACAGAGCTGGCAGCCGCACCAATGACTCCAACGATTTTATCTGGCTTGGCAAATATGGGCTGGTCTCCATTGGCACAGCGTACATCCGAACCGTCACGCTCAATGAGAGCTTGTACAAAGGTAAGCGACTGCTCCAGGGCGTAGGTGTCCCGCGAGCAGGTGTCCAGGATACGGGCCCCCAGCGTCACGTTGGGCAGCAGCTCTGGGTCTTTGTTGATGAGGTCAATGGCAAACAGCATTGCCTCCAGTCTGTGAATACCCTTCTCCTTCTTTAACTCCCCGCAGGGAACGCCACGCTCACCCCGGGCGTGAACCGGAAACAGGCCACCCAGGATGATGTCGCCATCTAGACGGATAGAGTGGGCATACTCAACAGTTGGTGTCTCCACCCGCTGGAGGGAGACTGGCAACCAGTAGCAGAGGAAGAGGAGGAGCTGGTATTGAGTCCGACTTATGCGTACAAGATCCATATCCACAGGGACGTTGGGGACAATGTGAGGAAATGTAGGTCCAAAAATTCCAGGTGGTGGGATTAAGGGCTAATGGGGCAGCAGACGGACGGAAACATCCATGCCCATTTCAAAGCTGAAGTTGTGCATTCTGACCATTTAGAGTGTGACCACAGGAATTTCTCATGGGGCAAAAATGTCTGGCGTACATGTCATGTGACTGGTAACAGGTGATATAAGGAGATGCAACAACGTCAAACAAGTGCCTTTCCAAATCAAGCTCCAAAACTCTCACATCTTCAGAAGCATCTAAAGAAAAGAAAACATTGTATGAGTAGCTTCACAAAGAGAAAATCAAACATGAGTCAGGCACAATATATGCAAGCAACAAAGCAAACTCATCAAACACACGGACATCTTGACAGGGAGGAAATTACATCACATTCATTTGGAGCTCAGTGTGGTCTTTCATTTCTGCCTCACAGAAAAAAAATCAAGGCCGTCTTCTCTAACATTTGCATAGACAACCAAAGATCTTCAGAAGCATCTAAAGAAAAGAAAACATTGTATGAGTAGCTTCACAAAGAGAAAATCAAACATGAGTCAGGCACAATATATGCAAGCAACAAAGCAAACTCATCAAACACACGGACATCTTGACAGGGAGGAAATTACATCACAGTCATTTGGAGCTCAGTGTGGTCTTTCATTTCTGCCTCACAGAAAAAAAATCAAGGCCGTCTTCTCTAACATTTGCATAGACAACCAAAGAAATTTCGCAATGAGAGGAAATGTGCCTATTTGTGGACAATAGAGCTGTCGGTTTGATTTTTACAGTTCAACCTTGTGGAATGTAGTGGGACAGAGGGTAATCAAGGAGAGTTATGGCAGATTGATCTTCACAACAGTTTTTTTGTCAGGATCCACAGATATAGTAATTTGGGCCAATGCAGATAGACCGTAATTATAATGTTAATTTTTACTGGTATTATACACTATATTTTTCATTCAAAAGCATTTGAAATTAACTTTATGGTTTTAAAATGACATGTTATGTATCTGGAGAAGTATATGCTCTTGATACAAATATTGCACTCTGTCTTTCCCTGTGGGCTATCCTACAACAATCCACATTTCTTTCATTTTAGCCAAACCACACTAAGCTCCAAAATGACGGCTGCTGATTTACACTGTTGTTGGCACACATCAAACACCTGAAACAGTACAGAGAGAACCTCTCGTGAAACACCTCCGCATCCCCACTCTACACTGGAGAGCCATTGTTACGTTACGCACAACCTTGCGCTTCAGAGAGACACATGCTGCGCAATCTGCCGCCTCCGTGCGCCAAGAGCATCACTCTACAACGTAAAGGAAGTCCATTGCACACTTCCGAGTGTGATTCTGCACTCCTGGTGAGCCACAAATGCCACTGAAATTCCCACATTAACCCAGACACTATAGATTACGCAGGAAAAATCCCATAATTTCCCCTGGATCTTACTGTGAACTTTATATACTACCTTAAAAACAGCACTTCCCACTCTATACTGTTTTATTTTAGTCTGTTCTATAACAATGACTCCCTTCTATTCTAACGACTCTGTTCTGTCTTAATGATTCTATATTGCTGTATTGTATTCTAAATGACTCCGTTCTGTTCTGTTATGTTCTATACGGCTCTATTCTAATGACTATTCCATTTTTCTACTCCATACATATTCGGGGAAGACCAGTGCGCATTGGTTTCTCGAGTGCAGAGACTGCCTGTTTGAATCGAATGTATTTGCATATATGATAGTATATGTGCATATGCATAATTGGATTTGTTTCAGCCTAATATTCTACTCCTTTGCACGAATTAATCTCTATATGAGAGCTCGGGTCTTTCCTCTCTTCTGTCGTTATATCAGAGACAGATGGAGTTTTTACCCTGGCAGACGCAGTGTGTCCCATTTCTCTTTTTAATTTACACGATTCAGTATGTGTCAAGCAGAACCATCTTCTACTGGAGATCCCATTATATTTCCACCAAGAGAGCCTGTCTCATAGGAATCCAGAGCTCTTTCTCTCTCTTACAACTGTAGTTGGAAAAAAACAAGCGTATGCTTCTCCAAAAACAGTCGCGTGCAATTTGGAGTTTATAGTCTGTAAATGCAACTCGTGAGAAAGACATGAGACGTTTAAAAATTCACAGCCTATACATTAATCACGCACATTTCTGGTTGATAATTCTGAATTTATGAGAGAAATAAACTGTACAAACCCAGCAGTCCATGTGTATGAATCAGCATGCATGCATGCGTGTGCATTTACGCACATTCCTTTGATGCAATGCAATGCAATGATTCACACAGTCTAATCAACACAGCCTCTGCAATCTTCTTCAGTTCTTTATATACATCACGAATGCGCAAGAATTGTCTCATTAAAAGCGCAACTATTTTTTCTGAAGCAATAAAGTGATCTTAAGTGACTATTGTCATCTTATAAAACACAAACAAGCTCTAAAGAAACAACTGTGACATTCATTTACGATTCACAATAAAACAATGATCTTTTAGATCAGTTTTCGTACTCTAAAGATATTCATGAGCAGCATTTCAAACTGTATTTTCTTTGATAGTATAATACTTGCAGCATAAGAATACCATTTTAAAGCATACTAATATGAAAGTGCAGTAGATGTGAGATCTTACCTTCTTTCTGCTCTCAGAAGCTGGTTTGTGGTGCTGAAATGAACAGCGCATCACCAAAATCCTCCCTGTGATTGTGATTGCTCTCTCACTCTCTCTCTCTCACACACACACACACACACACCCCCTCTCTCTCTTCCGTGCATCACATGCAATCTTAAATGAAACATGCTCTCATTTCAGAAGGAAAATTCTCAGGAACGTTTGCTCAGAATGATTAAGGGAACACCCCTTCGTGTGCACAAAAATAGACGCAGAAGTGCAGGAATAAAGGAGAGGGTAAACGCAGGAATGTGACGATCCTAACATTTTGGATTTCGCATTCAAATAAACAGACTATCTACTTCTAGAAACTGCATTAACACTTCGGTTTTGAATGCTAATTCAGTTAAATATTACCGAATTATGATGCCTTGTGTTTTTTGGATGTACTCTAAATTATCCTAAAGCTCAATGGACAAAATCCAACTCAATTTATTAATTCAATGAGTCTGAATGCAAACAATTACTAATAGTTCCTAACAATTTTCAGCGCGTAATGGCAAATACTATTTATATATTCAATCATTATTTAAGCCATTTTAGATCGACCATCTGCTACTAACCAAAGTCACATCTGAACAAATTGAACTTGTATTTCCAAACAGAAAAACTGATTTTGGGGAATGCCAGATTTGGCTGTAATACACTTGCTGGTTTATAAATAGTGCACTATTGCCCTCTAGTGGTATAAAAATACTTGATCAACCTAAATTATTTACTACATCACTCTTTGGGATTTAATCATCTTTAGCCTTTCTATAAATAGAATCAATAATACATTTAAAGTCTCATTTTATATATAGAATCACAATAATGTTATGTGTAAAACCATATTTTGATGAAAAAAAAAATCTCAAACCTCTTTTAGTTCTGTCACAAACTCCTGGTTTGGAAATACTGTTATATGATAACACGAGATGCCGTTATACATAACTTTAAAAAAAACATCAATGCACATAGTCAATTTCTCTGTTTATTGTTGGTCAATACATTCATTTTAACAATGAGAAATAAAACTTCTACCAACGTTTATCCGTCAAGCCTCCGGAAGGCTAAAAAAAGATTCTTGGATCTACAGATTTGCACAGTGAATGCTTGTGAAGACCTGTTTACCTTTCTGTAAAATCTTAAGAGACAAATGAGGAGAGAAATATAATGAAAGAAGCATCTAAAACTGATAGGAGATGAATTAATCAAAGAACTGCAGCGAAAAGGCAACTAAAAAGATCTCATAGAAAGCATTTAACATTTGCCTGCAGTTCATATAAGGACAATTGGTTGTCTTCCTCAAAGCATGTGCTTGTTCAAACATAAAAGATCCCTTTCCCTTAATATAACTGAAGTAGTATCTGAGTTCATGACGGTCCAGTGGTCTTCAGTGTCCACTGTTTTCTCAGTAACAGAAAAGACAGACATCCAGATCTTACTCCATACACTGCACTGAATACTAATGAGCCAGATGGGTGTCAATAGCTGACGTTCAGCTGCTGTCTGCAGGAGTTCAATGCCATCTCGCCAAGAGCATGTGTGCCTTGAAGCTCCACCTGAGGCTGAACCTGCTACAACAGGATCCTGGAACAAACGTCTACTTGGTTTTGGATGGAAATGTCAAATCTTATTGATGGCAGCGGGGGAATGAAAAGCATATGTATTTCCTCTCATATCTGAGAGTGGTCAGAAGCCCTCATAAATGGTTAATAGAGTGCAGCTGAAAATATTGTACTGTTACATTGACATACATTCTCCTGTATGGACAATGGAAAAGCTCTTAACACACACTTAGCCCACACACATCTCTGAGGGTTTCTTATACCCCACTTATGTTTTAAAGTTTTTTTGTTAACTTTTTGTAGTACAGCAATGTTTCTTTGACTTTTTTTAGTGGTTCTGATTTTCCTTGTGACTCTCACTGTCCAGTATGTCTTTCCACAGTTGCTGCAAGTCCAGTTTGCTGTCAGAAGATATCTAATAAAGAGAGACAAAAGGAGACACAAAATACTATCATAACATTATCAAGGATTTGTAGAGAGTTAGCATGATGTCTCAGACATGGTAATACCACATTATGAGAGGATACCATGATATTCTTTAAAGTGTCTTGGAGTACATTGTAAGTTCCTGGTCAGTTAAACTGATTTAAACAGTTCACAATATATATATGGGATGCACCAAAGTTAAAACTCTGGCTGATACCAGTAAGCCGATAATTGCTTTCATGTTATGCTATTTTGTCTGAATGAATAAAAAAAAATCCAACATTATAAAGTAAAATTAAACATTTTAAATTCTACAAGTAAATTTAGGCACTACAACATTATTATGAAAAACCGATATTCATTTTTAGATTTGCTAAAGATTATATTTAAGAGGGTTATTAAATTATTTTTAAATATTTTCTTTCTCATTATCTCACTTTAAGTTAATCTAAATGTAAAAATGCTCAATTTAAAAATATATATAATTAAATAATATGCCGTCCGATATGGTACCGATATATCGTGTCTCCCTACGATAAAGTGCAAGAGACTGTGAGCAGCTGAATGGTTTCCACTGAATGGACTCCAGTACATTATCACTTAAGCAACTCTCTGCCACATGTCGACTGGGAGCGGGCGGTAATCCAGCCTTCATGTGTTTTCATGTTACATATAACTTACTGCAACCCAGAGACAAACACAAGGAATAAGACCCAGAGGAACAAGTGAAATGCTAACTGTCAGACTGACATATGGACCTCTATCACAGGGAGAAAATGGGGCATTAATGGGGAAAAAAGCAAGTCAAAAAATGGACATGTATACCCAAGGCAACTCTGTCACCCTTATTTGAAGATCAGAGAGCTTCTCTTGTCTCTCCGGTCCTGTGACAGAACGGCATGATTAATACAGCCCGGCTGAGCAGAGCGCTGTTTCCAAGGACACGGGTGAGTTATCTTAATTGCTTCTTAAAGAAGCCCCCCTCACCGCTCAACTGGCACCCCAAGGGCTCTTTAAACCTTGAGGTGAGACCGGGGCGGCCTAATTTCCGGGGCCTTGCTGTGGCATCCATGCTTCATTCTTCCGTGCAGGAAGTCCACCCTGGGATTTCTCTCATTCATTAACAGCAAGGCTGTGGCAGCAACCCACCAGCCAAAGCACAATTCCTTTCTCCCGCTGCAACACACCATCTGCTGTACCATCGAAGTTCAGAAAACAGGAAACAGCTGCACACAACCTAGTGAGCTGCCTACCTAGACAGCCTTTTAAGGCATCATAAACTCACTCCCAACTAAGCATCAGGATTTAAACTAAAGGTAGGTAGCATTACACTGTTGACTTCTAAAATGTTTTAGCCAGATCAAAGGCAGAATTGCATACGGTTTTTGCAAAGAAGGCAATTGCAGAATGCACTGTGATGATGTAATCTGGCTTCTAAGATGTTTTGATCAAATTCGAAGGCAGAACTATGTATCTTTTGCCAAGAAGGCAACTGCAGAATGCATTGCAATGAGCTAACTGAAAAGTGAAAGTTGGTGAACAATGCAGGAGAAATGTCAACAATAAATACTAGTATTTTATTCAATGCCTAGGGCCATGTCCACACATACACAGGGTATTTTTATATAGTTTTTCCTTCTTCCATTTAAAAAAAAATCTCCGTCCACATGAAAACACAAACGCATGCTATGAAGCACTGTCAAGAGCATGCCAAACCAAGGTGGCGATATAATCTCAAACGTAAAGCCATGTTGGCCAATCAGAAGCCTGAAAAAGTTTCCAGTAGGCGGAGATAACAGTAGTGATGGTGAGATGAAGCCTCATGAAGCATTGAAGCTTTTCAGCCAAGTGGTTCAAAAAAGGGTTCATTTCTCGAGGCTTAATTTGCTCACACTACCACCTGGTGGCCAAAGAGTGTAAAACAATCAGATACATTACAGATGACCTGATGTGCTCTGTGATGCACTGTATTTTGCGCCAGTTAAGGCTTACAAATAATGGTGAATTTCCACATAGACTAATCTATTTATATGAATAAAATGTGTGTTTTCTAGTGGTATATAATGATTGTATAACATAATATAACATAACTGTGTAATAAACGTATTGGCTTGAAATGAATGGGGCTATCAAATGTGTGTAAATGAAGTCTTTGCTCATAATAGGCAGGAGGGGCAATATTATTGGTCTAAAACTGGAAAGTGACTGGGTTTAACAGGGCAGAGGACTGTGAATTTACAAGATTTGAACTGCTTCCTGAACCAGTCTGGCCAAGCGAGGTTTTGAACGTCATCAATGACATCATTGCTCTAAAGCGATACAAGCCTCGATACGCGCTTCACTGAAAGCTGCCGGGATTTCTCGACACACGCTCCGAAGCCTCG